ACACCCCAGCCCCTCACTGGGGGATTCTAGGCAGGTGTCTACCACTGAGCCACACCCCAGCTCCTCACTGGGGGATTCTAGGCAGGGGCTCTACCACTGAGCCACACCCCAGCCCCTCACTGGGGGATTCTAGGCAGGGGCTCTACCACTGAGCCACACCCCAGGCCCTCACTGGGGGAGTCTAGGCAGGTGCTCTACCACTGAGTGACATCTACAATCTTTTGTTTGTTTGTTTGGTTGGTTGGTTTTAATTTGATTTGATTTGATTTGTTTTGTTTTGTTTATTTTTGAGACAGTCTCACTCTGTAGCCCAGGCTGACCTGGGAATTTACAATCCTCCTGGCATTAGAAGCAGGCATGTACTTGGATTTTCTTTTATTTTACAACAAATAAGAGACAGTTTTCAGGCATGGACAGAGGGCTCTTGGTCTAGCACAAAAGACCACAAGTGCAAGGAGGAACAAAGTTTCTCTCAAAGGAGAATGAGCTATTATATATTGCCCTTCAGGAAGAGAAAAGCCACAACTACTAAGGGGAGTTTGGGGTGCCAAATTCTATTGCTTTTTAAACATTTTATAATGTTGAAATTCACATAAAGTTAACTATTTTATTTAGTTTTTACTTTGTTGTAGCCAGCCACTTAGATGCACTCACAGGGTACAGCATACTGTTTTGAAGCCTCTCTGTTCTTTGTGGAATGACCATAGCTGGCTGGTTAGTGTATTGGTCACTGTATCTACTTATCACGTTTTCTACAAAGAACTCTTAACAATTTTCAAGTATGCCTTGTATTATTATTTTTTAAATTTATTTTGTTTTTGAGAATACATGAGGATTGTATTTGCATTGTTTCCCGCCAGTCCCCCTCCGACTCCTCCCACACCTTCCATTCCCTCCCACTTCCTTGTCCTGTCCTTTGGTTATTATAGTTATACATACATACATTCATAAATATGCATATCTATAATACAGATTCCACTCAGTGCTGATCAGGTATACCTGTACTTAGGGCTCACTACTTGCAATTATATAACTTCTCGGGGAACTAGCCCCTGGAGAAAACTGATTCTCCCTCTCCCAGCACCCACTGATTGCCTGTAGCTCTTCATCTTGAGGTAGGAGCCTGTGAAACTTCGCCCCATCACCTTGGCTTGCCAACTGGATTTTTCATTATACAGATCTTGTTAGACTACCATACTGTGGAGATTTTATTGGTGCTGCTTCCTCACTGTGTCCAGAATGCATTAACTAGCCACGAGTGTCTCCTCCATCTTTTTCAATGTTCCTTGAGCCTTAGGTGTAAAGCTTACACTATAGATGTGTCACTTAGGAATGGGCATCTCACAGTCACTTATCCTCTGCATTTGACCAGTTGTGGAACTTTATAACAGTCTCCATCTATTGCAAAAAGAAGCTTCCTTGATGAGTGGTGAGAGATACACTTGCCTATAAATATACAGATACGCATTTAGAATATAGTAAGGAATTACACTGGTCCAGGGAACTGACAGAAGCAGGTTCTCCTCTAGGGTCCATGACCTTTCCAGCTACGTGTACTTGGCTATGTTTACAGTGCCACACATGAATTCCTTGTATGTTGCACAGCAGACCCCCCCAGAACTTACTCCACACTTTTCAATCAAAAGGGACAATTCCAGTGACACCCAGGACATTCACAATGTTGCACCACCACCACGTCTGTATAGTTCCAGAGCAGCGACCTCACCCTCGTAGTGATTTTTTTTCCTGAGGCATTACCCACATATATGTATTCACCCCAAATATGGCACAAATCACAGACCAAAGAAATGATTGTGCCCATCTAGCTTGGTGAACTAATGACTTGGGTGGGGGATGGGGGCTACTTCCAGGGGCTTGGAAGATCTGAAGAACTACATCACTGGAAAGCCCAACCCAGGATGGGAGGTGACTCAAGAAATCTGCATCTTTGGAGCCCCAGGGATGCGCAAGCTGCAGGCATTTCCACCGAAAACCTCCTCTTGGTCAGCCATTGTTTGCTGCTTTATGAGGAGGGGCCCTATGAGGAGCTTCCTGAGGCTTCAGAGTCCCCGTAGCTGGCTGAGCCTGCAGAGCCTCCCTCTGCGCTTCGGGAGTGAATATTTCCATTCAGCGGAAATCTTCAGAACAACTTCAAATGGAAACGTCATGTCCCTAAGCAGTCGATCCTCGTCCCAGCCTCCTTCCTGCCTTTGATGTTTTAGAACGCACATAGGCTAGAAGGAGGTTGGGGATGGGGAACGATGAGAGCATCGGATGCCCATCTGAGTGCGACAGGGAAGAGATGGCCAGAGATGGCCAGAGCAGGCATGGAGAGGAACACCCAGACAGCAAGACCTGAGGACTTCAGCCCAGTCTTTCTCAACTGAGGAGAATTGGCAGGAACATACTGTCAAGTCAACAGGGCTTACCAGTCAAATGCAAAGCCGGCCCAGGTGCAACTGGAAGGTTCATTGAAGTTTGGGGAGTGGGTGAAAACCCTAAAATTGGGTCTCTAACAGGTCTGGGGTTCAAGTGAAGTTGATGATGCAGGGCCAAGGACCACGTGTTACAAGCCACCCTCCGAGTGACCACTGGTGACCACTAGCTCGTTTTCATTCATCTCTCTCCCCATTCGGTCCTTAACTCTCCCCTATCCAACCTCTCCTTCTGCTCCAAGAGAGTGAGTGAGTCTCAATTTTGCTTTCTCAATGGCAGTAGTTTTATTAGATTTTTGTTGTTCTGTTTTGCTTTGGTTTTTCGAGACAGGTTTTTACCTGTGTAGCCCCAGCTGGCCTAGAACTTGCTCATTTAGACCAGGCTGGCCTCAAACTTACAGAGATCTGCCTGCCTCTGCCTTCTGAGTGTTGGAAATAAAGGTGTAATGTATTACCTCACCCAAGGGGGGAGGTGGATTCAGTCAGCAAGAAATTACTTTAAATTTTTTTTATTTTTTTAATGTGTATGAGCATTGATCTTGCATGTATGTAAGTGCACCTGTATCATACAATGCCTGTGGAGGACAGAAGAGGGCATTGGATCCCCTAGAACTCTTAATAATTACTGGGGGTTCCTAGCTGCCATGTGGGTGCTGGGTCAAACCTGGCCCAGCTGGCCTAGAACTTGCTCATTTAGACCAGGCTGGCCTCAAACTTACAGAGATCTGCCTGCCTCTGCCTTCTGAGTGTTGGAAATAAAGGTGTAATGTATTACCTCACCCAAGGGGGGAGGTGGATTCAGTCAGCAAGAAATTACTTTAAATTTTTTTTATTTTTTTAATGTGTATGAGCATTGATCTTGCATGTATGTAAGTGCACCTGTATCATACAATGCCTGTGGAGGACAGAAGAGGGCATTGGATCCCCTAGAACTCTTAATAATTACTGGGGGTTCCTAGCTGCCATGTGGGTGCTGGGATTCAAACCTGGGTCTTCTGCAAGAGCAGCCAGTACTCTTAATTACTGAACCATCTCTCCAGCCTGAAATTACTCTTACAAACACATTATACATAAACATATATAATATATAATATAAATATATTATATTATACATAATATATATATACAATGAGTGTTTTGTCTACATGTATGTATGTGCACCTTGTGTGCACAGTGCCAGCAAGGCCAGGAAAAGATATTGGAACCCCTGGAACTGGATCATTGTGAGCTGCGATGTGGGTGCTGGGAACTGAACCTGGGTTCTCTGGGATTGTAATAAGTGCCCTTAATTGCTGAGCCATCTTTCCAGGTCCAAGACATTATTTTTGAATGTAGAAGCTTGGCCTCACATGAAGTCAGCAGAGAGTCTTGGAGGAACAGAGATGGGCGGACACACAGAGGCACACACACACACACACACACACACACACAGACCCACAGTTTGTGCACACACAGAGGTGTGGAGACATCCTCCCACCTTTTTCCTGTCTCCTCACCCCCCTGCCAGACCCCTGCTTTGTCCTAACATTGGTACCTGTTGTACAGAGGAGACCCCGTTATCCATTGCCATGGAAACGGATGTGATGCTAGGCATGAGCAGAGGAGGAAGCAGTAGCAGAAAGCCGCTAAGACTGGAATTTTCCAGATTTGATAGATAAACATGCGTGGGCTTTAAAAATCCCCTCAAAGTAATTGCCATATCTACCTGGTTATTGAAAGAGGGAACAAACCTCATTGTGGTGACAGAACAGAGTCTTCAACAAGTGGCAGAAATCCAAAGAAAGACATTTGATTCCTGCAAACCACTGCTTTATAAGCGGCCCTTATGCAGTGAACTGTGGCTTGTAGAGCTTTAAAATAATCACTGTGTGGTCCAGGTGGCAGTGGTGTGTGATGGTGGGATATGCTGAAGAGGTAGAGGCAAGAGGACTCAAGTTCAAGGCTGGGCTCTATTTTAAGGACTGGGGAGATGACTCTGTAGATAGAGCACTTGCTATGTAAGCCTGAGGGCTGGAGTTGGGATCCCCAGACACTACCCAAAAGCTGGTGTAGCAGCCCACCTGTGATCCGAGCAGCCAGGAGGCTGAGGCTCAGCTAGCCACACTAGTGATAGAAGCCAGCTGGATGTGGTGGCTCACACCTTTAATCTCAGCACTCATGAGGCAAAGGCAGGCAGACTTCTGTGAGCTCGAGGTCAGCCTGGTCTACGTAGCAAGTTCTAGGCCAGCCAGGGCTACAGAGCGAGAGCCTGTCTCAAAAGGAAAAACAAAACGGTTAGGGACCCAAAGAGGTAGCTCAGTTGGCAGAGTACTCACTTTTCATGCATAAAGTCCTGGGTTCAATCCCCAACACCACACACACTGGGCATGGTGGTGCATACCTCATTTAGCTCAGGCTGGCCTTGAACTCTACGTAGTGAAGAATGACTCTGTCTGATCCTTCCACTTCCACCTCCCGAGTGCTGTGCTCCACCATGCCCGGTTTTCAAATAAATGGTTTTGAACAACACAGGTTGCTTTTAAGCTTCTTTGTTACGTTTACTTATTTACTTATTTATTTTTGTAGGTGTGTGCATAAGCATGACACGACGGAAGTGAGAAAGTCAGAGGACAACTTGCAGGAGTCTTCTCTTCTTTTGCCTTGTAGGTCCTGGGGATTGAACTCAGGTCTTCAGGCTTGGCGGCAAGCTCCTTTACACACTGAGCCATCTCACCAGCCCAACAACACGAATATTTTAAAATGACTCTTAAGTTTTCCTGTTATAGCAAATATAACAGCTCCTGTTAAATTCTATGTGGACTCAAACACTGATGCTGTCTTCAAGGCCCTGGCTCGGATTGTTCCCTTTTTTTTTGTAAATATTTCCTCTGGTATTTTAATGAATTATTTATAAATAGGTGTTTAAGTCAAGCACACTCTGACAATTTTTTTCTATGTACACTTGATAAATTTAATGTCTCCATGAAATGTCTTCTGTGATTTCAAAAATAAATAATCCACTTTGTCTGGCCTAGTGATCTTTTATTTAAATGTACCCTTGGAGTAAACACAGACTTCTGTGCTTCAGGAAGCCTTTCTCTTGTCGAAGGGCTCTCAGTATGTTTGCCCAATTCAAAAACTCACCTAATGAAAGCTATGCTATTCTGGTTGAAAACCATTTGCAAACATAACAATAATACGCAACTTTAGTGTTCCGAAAGATTATCTTGGGGACAGCGAGATGGCTCAGCAGGTAAAGGCTTTTGCTGCCAAACCTGATCACCTGAGTTCAATCCCCAGGACCCACATGATGGAAGGAGAGAACCAACTCCCAAAAGTTGTCCTCAGACCTCCACAGGGGCCATGGCATGCAGACATACACAAAATAAACAAAATGTAATAAAAGTTAATGTCTCACGCTTTTGGAAAAAAAACAAAGACAAAAACAAACAGATAAATGCAGTCCTTCCAGAGTTCAGAGAGGATATTGCTGTCCTTGGAAGGTCAGAGTGAGAGCCCAAGTCCTTATTGAAACCAACTTATTCATTGAAACGATGCAGGGCTTGGCGACCTGTGGGTTGTAGTCGTTTTTATTATTATTACTGTTACTATGATATCTGTGTTTTTTTTCTGCTTTTAATTTCCTAGTTGAAAGAATCATGCCTTTTATCCTTTTATTTAAAAAAATGTCTTCTGCACTTATTTTCATTTCCTTCATCTTTATCTTTTTGAGTCTCATAATCCTTCTTCTTATCATCTTGATTTTGTTCAACAGCATTTTTTTATGTTTCTATATTTTGAAGCTTCTGCAAATATTTGAGGGTGAAATTTCCAATTGAGTACAGTACTGTAGTTCCTTTTTGGCATATTTGGATTCTTTTCCAAAAAGTATTTATTTGTTTATTTATTTATTTATTTATTTATGGATTTGTGTACTAATTTGGGAGTGGGGGCACATATACGCCATTCCATAAGTAAGTAGGGAGATCAGAAGACAACTTTCAGGAGTCAGTTCTCTCCTTCCACCATGTGGGTCTCAGGGATCAAACTCAGGTTGTCAGGCTTGGTGGAAAGCACCTTTACCTGCTGAGCCATTTTGCCTACCCAGCATATTTGAATTCTGATGTGACTAATAATTCTTTTAAAAAAAATAGTAGGAGGACTGGAGAGATGGCTCAGGGGTTAAGAACACTGGTTGTTCTTGCAGAAGACCCAGGTTTAAATCCCAGCACCCACATGGTAGCCAACAATCTGTAACTCCAGTCCCAGGGGGTCTGACAGCCTCTCCTGACCTCCATGGGCATTGCAGGACACAGATGCCCTTACCTATATGCAGGCAATACACACATACAATTAAAAAAATAAATAAAAATTTTTAAAAATAGTGGGGTTCAGAGTGTGGAGGACTGGAGATGTGGCTCAGTGATACGGAGCTTGCCTAGCATTCTTGAAGCCCTGGGTTCCAGCTCCAACACAGCTTGAAATTGGGGGTGTTGGTGTACTTTGCCACCCCACACCACACTCAGGAGGTGCACAAAGGAAGATCCAAAGTTCAAGGTCTGGACTGCTTTACAGTAAACATATCTAAGTAGAAAGGAACACATTCTAAAATAACATCTAAAGTTTAATATAGTAAATACATAACCTAGTAACAGAATTGCTGACTAGCATTAGCAAGTGATGTCTAATTGAAAGTGCTATTTTTATGGCGCTAGAAGCAAAAGTAGGTTTGTTTAGACCGGCATCAACACAAGCTTTTTTGTGTTTGTTTGCTTTATTTTCCTCTTGGCACTCTCCCGGCTGTCCTGAACCTCAGTACACATTTCTACTGTGTTGACATAAGCATCTTTGTGTGTAGACACAATTAGCAAGGAGTGTGTGTGTGAAGTCCAGACTCAACCCCGGGTGTCCTTCAGGTACCTTCCACATTTTTCTTTAGAGACAGGGTCTCTCACTGGTCCAAAACATGCAAAGTAGGACAGACTGCCGGGATCCTGACGTCTCCACCTTCTTGGCGCTTACGTAACAGACAAAGTCAAAGTCACTACACTCAGCTTTTCATGTGGGTGCTGGGGATCAGAACTCAGGGCCTCATGCTTGTGTGGCAAGCGCTTTACCACCAAGCCATCTCACCAGACAAGTCTAGAACCCCAGCTTATGAGATGTGTTGCCCATATTCAGAGTGGGTCTTCCGACCTGAGTTAAGCCTCTCTAGAAACATACTCACAGATACGATGTGTCTTGTGATTCCAAATCCAGCCAGGTCAATAATGAAGATTAACCATCAGAAGGGGATGTGTAGGGTTCAGCCACAGCACTTTACTTGGAAGAGGCCATTTTCTTTTGTCTTCAGATCTCTTCACAATGACTAACACTCCTCTTCTTTCTCCCTTTGACTATTATAGGCTCTGGCCCCAGGGTTTTTGCTCTGTTGGGTAGCAATTTCCTCCAAATTGAAACATTCCACTCCAGAAGGAAGCTCAACACTCGGGAAGTTCTAAAAGGAGGCTTGTTAAGTCAGGAAGTATGGGGCTGGAGAGATGGCTCAGTGGTTAAGAGCACTGGCTGCTCTTGCAGAGGACCTGGGCTTGGCTAAGTTCCACAGACAGACAAAAAGCATCTATAACTCCAGTTCCAGGGGGAATTTGACACCCTCTTCTGGCCTTCGTGGATATTGTATGCATGAAGTGAACTTACATACGTGCAGGTAAAACACTCCTACACATAAAATACAAATAAATAAACTTTTTTCAAAAAGATCCAGGAAATTAACTACTCAGAAATCTCAGGAAGACCCTGAAACTTGCCAGATGTATAAGGCCCTTAAGTAACATTTGCTTACTGCTAGGAGAGCTGCCCACTGCCTGTATGTCCTGCAACTTTGTGCTTTGTGAGTTGTCATCAGGGCTGGACTGTCTGCATGTGAATTGCCCATACCCCTATAAGTAACCCCAATAAACTCATTTGTTCACCAAATTGGGCTTTGATAGCATCATTACTTTGGGCTGTCCACAGTTCCTTTTCTGGGGTGAGCAGACATTGACTCATGTTTCCCCACACAGCCCACACAAGAGCCAAGAAGGATCTTGTTCTGTGGTTAGTCCACTCCTGTCATTCAGATCTCTGCTCTTACCCTAGAAAGATCTGCTCTGTCTAAAACAAACCCCTCTCATTTCACTTTCTAGGTTTTATGTATTTATTTATTTATGGGGGCATGTGGTCTGTGTGTCTGTGCGTGGAGGTTAGCAGACAACTTATGGGAGTCAATTCTCTCCTTTCCACCATATGTGTCCTGGGGATCGAACTCAAATCCTCAGACTTGGCGGCACGCACCATTACCACCTGAGCCATGCCGCAGGCCCTTGATTTGGTTTTTGTTGTTGTTGTTGTTTTATACTGAGATTTATCACCCCAACATCTTTTCATGTGTTCATTGCAATCCATCTCTCCTGTTAGAATGCAAGCAAACTCTGAAGGCTCAAATCTGCAGATTTAAAAGAATCCCTCTTTTCTAAAGTGATGCCTGATGGTGTGCCTCAGGCATTCAGTGGATCCTTGTGCAGCAAATAATGGATGAAATGAAATTCCCTCCTGAATGAACTTGTAGCTCTCCCTTATTCTCAGAGCAGAGCCTCTGCCTGCTGAGGATTGTTTCTCTAACTCCAGTTCCTTACACGGAGTCTGGGAAATGGGAGGAACATGATCAATTTTCACTTTATATGTGTATGTATCACTGGAGCTCAGAGATTTGTGGTTTCTAATAGAGTAACAGGGAACTCCTAAATAAATAAATAAGTAAATAAATAAATAAATAAATGCCAAATTTTGGGCCAGTAAGATTACTCAGCAGGTTAAAGGTGTTTGCCACCAAGCCTGATGACCTGAGATCGATACCCAGAGCCAGCAGGGTGTAAGGACAAAACCCCGACTCTGACGAGTTGCCCTCTGACTTCCATACATGAATTGTGGCACATGTGCACACACACACACACACACACACACACACACACTAAATATATACATATATATTATATATATATAATTTTTTCCTAAAATCCAAATTTTGTTTTGTTTGGGAATGATCCTGTCCAAAAATCCGATTTTTTTCAGGCACCATTGCTGTGTGTGAGTGCTCATGAAGGAAATAGTTGAGCCCATCCCCCAGGCAGGACACTTGGTCCTTAGTTGCTCAAGAGCTCCCACTCTCAGTCCTTACAAGGGTCTGTTGCCATGGAAACTGTAGCCAGTCATTTCCATAGAGAAAGAGCTGCAGAGTCTGGAATTTTCCAGGTTCTAAAGGTGAATATTTATTCCAAAGCATCACAGTATGTTCTGGACCTAGGCTGTCCAACAGGGTGGCCACTCATGGCTACTGAACACTTGAACTTTGGCTCCTCTGAACAGAAATGTGTCTTCATCGGAACATGTACACTGGAGTTTGAAGAGATGATTTTTAAAAGAAGTTTTGAAATAGCTCTAAATAGTTTCTTACTAAGTCTACCTTTTGTTTTTGGGGTTTCTGGTTATTCATTGATTCTTTTTGGTGTGTATGTGTGTGGACACATGTGCCACAGTTCAGATGTGGAGGTCAGAGGACAACTTGCAGAAGTTGGTTCTCTCCTTCCATTGTGTGGGTCCCAGGGAT